TTCACAACAAGACCCAAAGACAGGCAAACATAAATCTCTCAGAGAAAAATGTGAATAATTCAGGTTGGCTAGTCGAGAATATATGTGAGGGGATGGTGTGTAGGTAGCGAAGGTGAGAAGAGGGCTGGACAGGTAATGGAGGACCTGCAACACCCAGCAAGGAGTAGAAGTAATGACAGGGACACTATGGAACAACCAAACAGGGTCTAAGGGAAAATTATTTAGGATCAAGTGCCTTATGGATTAGAAAGTGAAAATGTTTAGGGAATGGTTTAGGTGAGAAGTACAGAGATGATGAGAGGACTAGGGTGAAGGTGAGAGAGAAAGAACAGATCAGATTTAATCACCGAATATAAAAGTAAACAAAGGAAGATAACAGAAAATGCTGACTTAGAGATGTTCAGCCTCAGCAGCCAAGAGATCATAGATACCGTTAAAGATAGAGTAACTTGGAGAGTAGGCACTGGTTTGTAAAAGATAATAAAATACTCCCTCAGGGGAAATATTCAGTTTGCGGTAACTTGAGTCACCTAGTTGAAGATATTTAGAAGGTCATTTAGAAGGTAGGTGAGTAGTTCTAGAGAGAGGTGGGGGCAGCAAATATGAATTCAACTTCATATCCAAAGTTCTAATTGCTAACGTTATAAATTAGATGACCTAAGGCAAATCCAAAAAACTGAAATAGATACGTTCCAAGAACAAAACTTGGGAAGCTCAAACACGTGGCTCTCGGCAGTCAGCAGACAAGCGTTTTGATGAACTGGCAGCTGCACCAGGAAGGCTGGCCCTTGGATTCAGGTGGTTTTCTGGTGCACCCCTCCCCAAAGATCTCCTAGAGCCCACGTCCACTTCCTAAAATACTGCCCAGCTACCAGCGCTCTGAGAAACTCCCTGGTCACCCAATCAGAAACCAGCTCTCCACCCAACTTTGTGTCATTTCTAAGGCTGTGGCACATGCATCCTGTATCATGGTTTATTTATACAAATGTCAGCATCCCTGTCCAACTCCTCAGCTATAGCCCTACTTTCCCAAACATCCTACTACTTCCTGCACCAAAAGAAAAAAAAAGAAAAAAAATAAACAAACAAGAGGGGGGAAGACCTTTTTTTGGTGTATGGGGGTGTGAATTTATCTTTTCAAATTCTTTATCTTGTGATTTCTGGTCTTAGCTCATCCCATAGAGAAAACATGATGGTATCAAAAGAGAGGAAGCTAAGGAGAAACTGCAAAGGGCAGCTGCAAATGTCCTCTTCATCAAATTCTTTTCTGGTATTTTCTGTTTCCGCGCACCCTGTAGGTTAGATGCTATTCAGAATACACAAGATATGATCCTCTACATCAGTGTTTCTCAACCTTGGCTGCACATTAGAATCACTTGGGAATCTTTTTAAAATCCTGATTTCTGGGCCTTATCCTCCGGAAATTCTGTTTCTTTGTTACTAATGTTGTGGCCCCACCCCACAACAAAGAAACAGAATTTCCAGAGGATGAGGCCCAGAAATCAGGATTTTAAAAAGATTCCCAGGTGATTCTAATGTGCAGCCAAGGTTGAGAAACACTGCTCGACATGAAGTATTCTATCCTTAGGTGATATGACCTATTTCCATTAATGATTAATTCATGAAACCCTAAGCCTTCCTCTTCACCCCACCCACATGCACACCCTCAGGGCTTTAACTTTAAATTACACCTACTCACCCACTGGGAAAATCAAGTCTACAGCGAACTGCTGATTAATTTGACAGGCAGGTATACGGTAGTCTATAGCATGTTACCAACACTAAATTCTACAGTAATTGTTTTTCTCTAAGTTTCTATTGCCTAAGGCATATCTTGGAGATTTATTTTTCTCCTTCTCTGAAAGCTATAAAAAAATTATGAGCTACAGCCTGGGCCAAGCATGTTCAACACTATGATTTTAAATTTAAGTTTCAAGTTAAAGAATTACTTTCTTTCCTGTTCAATTTCAATCTTAAAAAAGCTGCGGGTCACTAGCTAGTGTCATTTAAAGTTTTATTTGAGGTTTTCAGTGGGCCTATCTCATGACCTTCAGGAGGCAAACACACGTGCCGAGGGCTGTCTCCTAAGCACAATGAAGATACAGGTCTGAATTCATCAAGAGGAACCAGGCTCCTAGTTGGGAATTAGAGAGGCAGCCTGAACCCACATAGGGAGCAGCCCAGCCTCAGAGCCAGCCTCTTCACAGGTGGACTGCTCCCCACCACTTACAGAGCCCACACACTTAGGGGTCTCTGCCTGAAGACACTGGGCGGGTAGGTAAGGCAGGTTGGCCTGAGGGGCCCCTCAAGGCAACTCCAACTCTAAGAGTTGCTTCAGTAATAGAAAGAAAAGGTTTTAAACCCTGGGTGTGCCTTCACCCTGTACGGCAGCTTTAAGAACAGAGAAAGAACACAGGCCCAGGACCCCAAGTGAGCCATCCTGATTTTAGTTTGCTCCGCTATAAAGTGGATGCTAAGATACCCTTGGGTTCCCAGGACCTGCAGACGTAGTCCACCTCCCCGTGTCTGCTCCATTTGTCCGAACCTTGTGGAAAAGGCAAAAAGAGATGGAAGGGCACTTGACATAGGAAGCCCCTGCCCAGTGGGGCTGCAGTGATGGCAGGAGCCTGAGTTGGGTGGAGGGTTCTGCACAGACCTGCCAAGACCCAGGGGGTTCATGGGCCTCCGCTTTCCACACTCATCATCACCTGCCCCTCAGAGCCCAGGAATATGCACAGAAGAGTTGCAGCAAAGCCAAGGTAGCCCAGGAAACACTGAGGATTCACAGTGAATCACTTATGTCATTCCACAGTCACTATGGACATTGTTCCGACATTATAGCACACAAGTATCTAAAAACATGAGTTATACATTTAAAAATAGTTCCTTTTTATAGTCTTGTTTAGATTTTGAGAGATCTATTGTGCCACGACATAATCTCTAATCACAGTGGTACTCCTAAAATGAATGCGATGGGCAAGTAGTGCCTGAAGAAAGAACAGCATTCCAAGAAGAAAGACGAAACCAACTCTGATATCATGTTAGCTGCTTCTGTAAGCTAAACCAACAAAGGATGTGATGGTAGGACTTTCAGTCTTTCAAGAGCTTCCTTCATATTTTACTTAATCATTATCATCAAAGCATCACCTCCCCACCAAGGAACAAAAACACAATTTTCCTTGATATTAAATCTAAGAACAACTATAAGAATAATGGTTAATGGCACTAAGATATCTATTAAAATACATGTGAAGTTTTCCTGTGATTCACCAGTGAAGTACAAATTTATAGTTCAGTGACAAATAAAAGTAAATTCTAAGATACTATTTTTTTAAAAATAGAAAATTCTGAATAGAAATATTAAACATGCTTTAATATGAAGCCTTTAAACTAGGAGTTATTTTCTCTGGCACAGAACCCCAGGGTGTTCAGGGGCTGCCTATCCAGTATCCTTTGCAGCAGAGGTGATTAGAAATGCCCAAAGCACACCTGGAATTATTCTGTCCACATCTGTCAGCTTTCCTTTAGCAAAAGCTGATGCCACGGGGACATGGTTCAATTCACCTTGAGGTTAATTTTTTTTTAAGGAATCAAAATCTTCCCTTTTTCTTTGGAAATATATATACCACATGAGATGTTTTTCCTTCAGGCTCCCTCTAAAAGAGAAATATGTCACTGGAAGTTTTACTACTAAAAATGATGACAAAGAGTTGCTTCTATATTTTAAAATCTTCAGATTGTTATGCACATGCATATCTAAAAACATGAGTTATACATTTGCAAATAGTTCCTTAATATATTCCCGTTTCAGATTCTGAGACATCAGCTGTGCCATGACGTAATCCCCAATTACAACGGTGTTCTTAAAATGAATCTGATGGGAAAGTAGGTCTGGGCCACAGCAACTTTAGGAAACCAAGTGAGCAAAAAGCCTCTTAGAAACTGCTTACAAACACAGCAAGATAAAGGAAAATGCATGCATTACTTCTAGGAATAACTAAGTAGACCAAAATTTAGAACTATTAGTGTACAAATGTTCCACAGATCACCTCTGTAAACACAAGGCAAAGAAAGAACAAGCTTGGAGGAAGGAAATTAAAAATATATATCAGTCTCATTCTCAATCACTCTTTCTCAGCTCGATCTCCCAATCTCTCTTTTCCTCACCTCATGTCCCTGTCCCTGTCCCTCCTCCAATTTGATCCAACTACTAGAATCCCTTCAAAATAGCTCCCCACATAAAAACCTCTAAAACTTCCCTGGCCCTCCGCAGATTCTTGCTAACCAACATCTAAGATGCCATGGCTTCAGATCCAATAACAATAACTTTGAAGTTGATGAGGCTGAGGTGGGATTTGGTCACCAAAGGCTTAGCCAAATGGGTAGCCTCTGGGTCTTCTTTAGGGACACGGCTGTTGTGACTTGCTTTGAGACTGTTAGAATCATATCAGCTAATGGGGACCATCCTGGTCACAGACTTGAAAAAGCTCAGTTGTGCTTTCCAATTTTAACAGCTTGGAATTAACTTCAGGATATCCAGTCAAGTGCTCCATCAATATGAAGGCATTACAGGTAATCACAGCTGATTTTTCCATTAATATTTAATATATAATATGTTTCATGGCAGCACAAAGTGGTAACACCTTTTATGGATCTTGGACTTCTTACTTAGAAACCACAAAGCAAAGGGTTCCTGGAATCAGTCCCTGAACAATTCATTTTCTAGACTTAAGGGTAATTTAAAAGTCTTTCCTTCCAGCCCGTCAATTCCCCATAACTGAGAAAACAGTAGTGTGAAACAGGCTACTTTTCTTCAGTAGATTATTTTTTAAATCCCAATGATGGTATATTAAGCTAGTCAACCCAAATGTTCAGCTTATTACATAAAGGAAACGAAACACTGTCACACGCATATGCCGATTCGCCTGCTCCTATCTGGAGCGGGAGGTGCACTTGTGCAGGAGAACCATGCAAGCCGCCTGCCCAGCCGCCCCACTTACAGTTAGCCAGCCGGCTCTGCTCGGGCTGCGCGCTGTCCAGGGACTGGGTGCTGGAGGCCGAGGTCACGCTGGAGCTCCGCACGAAGCCCAGCGCTGCCAGCTTGGCTGCGGGCAGGCGCGAGTATCCGGGAGGACGAAGTCCAGACTTCGGTAGACAGGATTTGGCAGCATTCGAACTGGAGGCTTTCTTTAAATCTCCTAAATTAACACAGACAAATAAACAAAATATTTCTCAGTTGAAAGCAAGATAGACAATATACAGAGTGTGAGTATTGATCCAGTTCTAGCATAAACAGGCCATGAGGAACCTTAGGGTCCAATTAGCACATTCACAAGCACACCTTCCTGAGAAAGCCCCTCACTGTGGGCCAGGAGCTACAAAGGCCTCAAAGAGAAGGAGAGGCAGAAGGTGGACGGGACCGGAACAGGCACTAACCCTATTGTAGGGGCATAAAGAAAGATGCAAAGTGCTTAGAAGGCTGAAGGGAATGAGAATGCTTACTGTTGCAAGTTGCCCTAGAACTGACAGGGGTGTTGAGTTATGTTAGCTGGTAATGAAAAAATATGTGATTTTCATACACCCCAGACCAGGGGTGGGCAAACTTTTTGACTCGAGGGCCACAATGGGTTCTTAAACTGGACCGGAGGGCCGGAACAAAAGCATGGATGGAGTGTTTGTGTGAACTAATATAAATTCAAAGTAAACATCATTACATAAAAGGGTAAGGTCTTTTTTTTTTTTTTTTAGTTTTATTCATTTCAAACGGGTCGGATCCGGCCCACAAGCCATAGTTTGCCCACGGCTGCCCCAGACCAATAAAGTAGGACAGGTTAATTATGTTGCTGTTCATTAGGTCTTTAAACCTTGTAGCCACGAAGTATAAAAGCCTGACATTAATTTTGTGACTGATTATATTAAATACAGAGAATGAAAGGATAGATTGAGATACATCTTAAAATCTGGCATACAATGGGCAAAGGACCCTTGTGGCCACTATTCATTAGTAATTATAACCAGTATGTGTGAGTCATGGAAACAGGTAAAAAGAGTCATTGTATGAACATTTTGTTGGTTGTAGGAATGAGGTGGAAAGGGCCCAGATGGTGGTGCTGGCCAGGTTGGAATCTAGGCTGTACCAGTGACTAGTGGTGTAACTTTGGACCCATTACCTAACACTAAGAACCACAACTTCCTTTCCCGAAGGAACTGAGGATGGCAAAGCTGGCCTTGCAGGTTTAATATAAGTATCCCTGCCTATCATATCAACTTGAATTAATGTTAGCTTTCTCTTCTCCTTTTCTATTACTTGCTTTTGTGTCAGTACAAACTTCAAAATTAGTTCCCAGACATATGCAAATCTAGCCTTTAAAATAATAAAACATCATGCTATAAATCCATCATCTCAGTACCAATACATCTGAGCAGTATTCTTATGATCATCACGACACTACAAGAAGCCTCTCAGTACCAGATAGAAACAGAATGCTGTCAAGATACAAATACTCCATGATACAAAATTTAAAAAGAAAAAGGGCCAAGTCACTTAGTATTCTGTTTCATTGACCCAGCCAAGCCATTTAACAACTTCCCCTGCAGCCATATTTACTGTGAGTGCTTATATTCATATCCCTCAGCAGTATAGTAAGTCATTATACAGTGAAAGATTAATCAGAATGCAAATTAAACATAATTTTTAAATGACCCATTTGTAAAAAATACCGATGTTTAAAAATTAACAAAGAGTCTACATATCAGAAAGTTTCTATGGGTGGATATATAGAAAGAACTAATAGATGCCACACTGAGTTTATAGTGCCTCTTCCTTGACCAGCAGTTCCCCCTAAGACACCGGTTCTCAACCTGTGGGTCGCGACCCCTTTGGCGGTCCAACGACCCTGTGACAGGGGTCGCCTAAGACCACCCTGCATATCAGATATTTACATTATGATTCATAACAGTGGCAACATTACAATTATGAAGTAGCAACGAAAATAATTTTATGGTTGGGTCACAACCTGAGGAACTGTATTTGAAGGACCAGAAGGTTGAGAGCCAATGCTCTACACACTGGTCTCTCCTACCATATAAATCTTACAAACAGTATATACCTTCAAGGTTTAGAGGAGCAAGTCTTACCTTTTTTACACTATCAGTACTTAGGCCTAGTAGTATAGGTAAAACCTGTACCATTTGGTTTTAACAAATTATTACTCAATAAAGTTTACAAGATGCCAATTCATCCTGTGAAATGGTCACATTCAGATTTTCTAACTAAATACGCCTCAATTTAATGTTAGTTTCTAATAAAAATGGACTTAATTATAAAAAATATACAGTCCTTACCCTTTTGTCAAACCAGTCCAGCACGTCAGGGGAACATATTTTTTCAAGTGTTTTGTATCCTTGGACTATTCATGAATATAGACTTTGACAGAAACAATGTATCAACATATATAGTAAGCACTCAATAAACTAATGATAATGGTTAATATTATAATAAAACTGAGGAGCATGTAAAGGACACACTACCACAATGGTAGCATGAGAAGCTCCATGGATACTTTTTTCCAGTGAAATAAACAAAATTTGTGAAAATGGTTTGTTTTTTGTTTTGTTTTTTTTTTTAATATATTTTATTGATTTTTTTTACAGAGAGGAAGGGAGAGGGATAGAGAGTTAGAAACATCGATGGGAGAGAAACATCGATCAGCTGCCTCTTGCACACCCCCTACTGTGATGTGTCTACAACCAAGGTATATGCCCTTGGCCGCAATCGAACCTGGGACCTTTCAGTCCACAGGCTGATGCTCTATCCACTGAGCCAAACTGGTGAGGGTGTGAAAATGGTTTTTTAAAAAACAACAGCCCTGGCCAGTTTGGCTCGGTGGATAGAGCGTTGGCCTGTGGACTGAGGGGTCCCAGGTTCATTCGATTCCGGTCAAGGGCACGTGCCTGGGTTGCGGGCTTGAACCCCAGTGTGCAGGAGGCAGCCAGTTGATGATTCTCTCTCATCACTGATGTTTCTATCTCTCTCTCCTTCTTAATTCCTCTCTGAAATCAATAAAAATATATTTAAAAAACAACAACAAAAATTTAAAGTCTCTGGAAATTGTTCTAAGGGCATACCACAAATAAGAAAACACTTAATGTAAGAAAATCTATTCAATCTCAGTAAGAATAGTGATAGTGGATGATACCTTAGCCATGACGTACTCCCTGCCTCTCCTTCACCCCATTCATATCAGCATGATGAAAAGTCTACTCTGGGTGGGAATGGCTAAGATGACAGGTTCCTCTTTCTGCTGGAGTATGGCATGCTAGTGGGAGATGCAGGCTACCACCATTTCCCATCCACATCCAAGAGAAACACATCACTATTTCCACTCCTTATAGCACAATCATGACTAAGAGATTTTGCCCAAGAGTAGAGACCGGTCATAAGAACAAAAAAGGCTGAAGCACTGTGCAAAGAAACTGACTTTATTTGGAATAGAGTGTGGGAGAAGTTCAAACTTAAGTGCATTCTTGAAAATAAACCAGATCCTTATGGTAAGCATTGAGGCTAGTAGCTCTATGATAGCAAGAAGATAAACTATAGATAAAGCAGTTTACCAAAGATAACCAGGAAAAGAACTAAGAAATTGCCTTCTTAAACTCAGGATTGAGGTTTCAAAGAGTGACTTCAAAAACTAACCCTGAAGAATTTTCTAGAAACCACTGATAAATTTAGTGAGACCCTGGAGGATATGAAAAAAGACCAACTAGAAATTAAGCACACACTGACTGAAATAAAGAATAATATACAGAGATCCAACAGCAGACAAGAGGATCCCAAGAATCAAGCCAAAAATTTGAAATACAAAGAAGCAAAAAATACCCAACCAGAAAAGCAAAAAGAAAAAAGAATCCAAAAATATGAAGATAGTGTAAGAAGCCTCTGGGACAGCTTCAAGCACACCAACATCCGAATTATAGGGGTTCCAGAAGAGAGAGAGCAAGATATTGAAAACCTATTTGAAGAAATAATAACAGAAAACTTCCCAAACCAGGATTATATGAAATGCTGAAAGGTATCCTTTAAGAAGAGGAAGAAGAAGAAAAAAGGTAAAGGTAAAAATTATGAACAGCAAATACATATCTATCAACAAGTGAATCTAAAAATCAAGTGAATAAAAAATCTGATGAACAGAGTAAACGTGAATATAATAGAATCAGGGTCATAGGAAGGGAGTAAACTGATAATTCTTGCGGGGGGAAGGGGTGTCGGGGTGCAGGAAGAGACTGGGCAAAAATTGTACACCTATGTATGAGAACAGTGGGAGGGGTAAGGGCAGAGGGTGGGGTGGGAACTGGGTGGAGGAGAGCTATGGGGGGAAAAAAGAGGAACAACTGTAATAATCTGATCAATAAAGATTTAATTAAAAAAAGAAAAACTAACCCCGAAAAGGGGCCTGAATTTACTTGGATCAGACTGTGCAGTAATTTATGCCTCAGGGCACTCTAGAAAATAATAAAGCAATCTGCCAGTAATTAGTGGAGTCTGTTACCTGGGTGTGTTATCAAATGGAGGAAGATAGCTTAATAGAGAAATCAGCAGGGAGAGACAAAGAAAGCTCTGCTAAAGTACTGTTGGAGTGAGTATGCATATTCCCACAGTTGTGCCATCTATGAAATGACATCAGTGTTTTCGTACTCTAGGGAAAATAGGTTTCACTAAAATAGACCAGCCATGTCATCAAACAAATAAATAAGCAAACAACAACAATTCCCAGACTGGAAATTAGGTAACTAGTACACACAGATGTGACAATATATTATTGAAATGTCCAGTGTACAACAAAAATTTTTGAGACGTGCCAAAACACAGAAAACTATGACTCATACATAGGGGGAAATAAGCAGGCTACAGAAACTGCCTGTGAGCAAGCTCAAATGTATGTCTTAGCAAACAAAGACTTCAAAATAGCTGTTATAAATATATTCAAAGAATTAAAGGAAACCATGGTTAAAGAAGTAAGGGAGATATTATGACAATGTCCCATTAAATATAAAATAACAATAAAGCGATTAAAATTATTTTATAAAAAAATAATAACCCAATAAAAATGTGGTGCTGAAAAATAAAATAGCTAAAATGAAATTAACTGGAGGAGTTCTAAAACAGATTTAAAGTGGTGGAAGAAAGATTCCATGAACT